GACATGTTAATAGTTTGAATGTCGCGATGTCGCTGGTAGCAGGGTTAATATTATGATATGTCCCACGTTAGGGGTTATTAAGACTCAGGCGGCGGAAGTTTAAGTCGTTGTAAGCAATTATTTTAATTGAATTGTTGGTAATTTTGTGCTTGTGAAGGAATTTCGGTTTTATTTGTGGTTGAAATAGATCCTGTACCTAATATAATGTTTTAGAAGACTACACGGTTGGTGCGGTGACCACGCAAGGTGTCGCAGGTTCGATTCCAGCGGGACAACTCTTTGTGTAATCCACAAATTTTTGTTTCGGGTCTAGGTGTCATGTGTATGTGAACTTGTATGTTTGTAAACGCACCCACGATACAGGAGAAAGTCCCAGTGCGGGGAAACGTTTTTTTTTTTTTAAAATAGAATTAAGATGCCACGGAGTTACGTGTGGTACACAAAAATGCTATTTAGAATGTAAATGCCTTTCGAATTCGTTTTGTTTTCGCTATTAACCAGATAAGTGAAAACTTAATTGTATGTCATGTTAGAAAAAATCAGGGGACAATGATAAGATAAAAGATAAAAGAGACCTAAAAGACAAAAGTTATTCTTGACTGTTTCTTAAAATCTTGTTTCTCTTCTATCTAATTACAATCTACTCCTAAAGGTATATTAAACTGTCAAACACCAAGCGGTCACCGGTGACCGCAACCTATTGTTTTAATTGTGTCTATATTGACGGTGCTCGACGAGTTAAACAATGATTTTTATTAATTTAAGACCATAAGAAGCAAACGAGCAGACGGATCACCTAATGATGACACCCACAACATTAGAGGAGTCACAGGTGCCTCGCCGTTACGTGAATATAATAATAATATTATCTTTTGCTACTGGTTAATTAATTTATCTTGAGAAATAAACTACAAACCAGAATATCCAACCCCACCAATACCCACACATCACAAAAGGTTTCCTTAATACAAATTAATAATATCAAATACATTTTTCGATACAAAACCAAATTACAATATAACCCTTTATCCGTTTACGTAACAAGCTTCCAATTAGCAACGCAATCCTGTGTTCCTTCAAGCTATTCCTCTACTCCTCCACTCCTTAACTCCTCCGGGTTATTCCTCCATCCGCTAAGGGATTGTAGATGTTAGACAATTTTGAAGATAATGAATATAGCCCGAGGACATCACTAGTGTTTGTGCTACGTGCCATCTGTCACAACCCTATGATGTAGAGTGTCTATGATTTAGTTTTGACTAATAAGGATAGTTTGATGAATTTTGACTTATTTACCTATTTATTTATTTATATACACTTTATTATACACTACAGACTGCCTCGTTGGTCGAGTGGTCGCAAGTGCGACTGCCGGGCAAGGGGTCTCGGGTTCGATTTCTGGGTCGGGCAAAGTATTAGGTTATGTTATGTAGTACACTATAGAAGCAAATTATAGGACAATATCAACAAAAATAGTTTACTATGGGCGGTCTTATCGCGCAAGGCAATTTCTTACAGACAACCTTTGTATGGAGCAGTAGTAGAACAATATGACCTACTTTGTTATACTTAGACGGGAACTCATTAGTCTTAAGTATAAATTTTTTACTTAATTTTCAACTTTCCCAATAATTAGTAATAGGTACTACCTATAAGTAGGTAACACAAAATTAATCTGCCTATATATAAAATGAAGACTACCTATTGAGCGCGGCCAGGGTGCGAAGTATCGGTGCTTTAGCACGTGCTACTGTAGGACATGAGGACATGAGGGACATGAGGGCACGGCAAATACCCTGTGCTTTTTCCCCGGCATTAACTCGTTGAGTATCGTCATTATAGACACAATTAAAAAACAATAGGTTGCGGTCACCGGTGTCCTCGCGGTGTTTTACAATTTAATAGGGTAGGTACTAATTTTTATTATTTATTTTTATTATTTTTATTATATATTTAAGAACATTGGACACGTATTTTTTATTTTAGAAGAAGAATAGTTTCGAAGTTATATTAATTTGAAATATCGTGTGACGTTAGTTTTGCAAACGATTAAATTTCGTAGCTACCTATCCCACTCCTAACTTTGATTCCTTTTATATGTAAGTATTGTTTTCTCATACGACATAAAATAATTAACGTTTTTAAAAAAATAAAACCGACATCAAATGCGAGAACACAAAAAAAAACTAAAAATTAAAAAATAATTCCTAATACCTATTACCTAATACTATAATTTTTCTAAACTATATCAAAGTAATTAAAGTTAAACCATCTAAATATCTTAAAATAGTTATACTTATATACCTACCTATTGTTTTTTGGAGTCGGTGCCAGTGCCAGCGTATTAAGTTTACCCGCGAACTAGAGACGTGCGACGCGGTTGCGGGAAGCAGCATTTTTGTTTCATTGAGTACTTTTTCTTATTTCATTAGGTTTAATATTCATTTATTACTGGCACCGACTCCAAAAAACAATAGGTAGGTATATAAGTATAACTATTTTAAGATATTTAGATGGTTTAACTTTAATTACTTTGATATAGTTTAGAAAAATTATAGTATTAGGTAATAGGTATTAGGAATTATTTTTTAATTTTTAGTTTTTTTTTGTGTTCTCGCATTTGAAGTCGGTTTTATTTTTTTTTAAAAGTTAATTATTTTATTTTTAGTTTTTTTTTTTGTGTTCTCGCATTTGAAGTCGGTTTTATTTTTTTTATTTTGATAATACCTATTCAATAAAAAAATAATCGTTCAAATTGGTTTAAAATCGGCGGAGTTATTGCGTATATATAAATTCATCCCCTATTTTCCACCCTTGGGGGTTGTTATTTTTATTAGTAAATTTAAATGGGACCAACCTTGAGGTATTACCTATACGCCAAAAATAGAATTTTTCAAATCGGTTCATAATTGGCGTAGTAATCGCGTAACAAATATAGAAAAAAAAAAAAAACATACGGGTCGAATTGAGAACCTCCTCCTTTTTTTGAAGTCGGTTGAAAATAAAAAAATATTAGAATATTTTTTCATTACCTAACTGACGGATTAATTAGATTTTTAGTTGTCATATCCTGCACTCATCCCTATTGTCTGCAACGTAAATGCGTGATAGTGACTTCAGTTGATCTGGAGCGTCAATAGCGCCATGGTGTTTCACAGGCAACTGCAAGTTGGATTCTTGCTCTCCTTACTAATTAATAAGTGGATACCTAAGTATGTATATAATTTAGTCAATTGGAATGATGACGGGGTATGAAAATTAAAAATATACGTTTTTTTTTATTTTGTCGTATAATAAAACAATACTTAGATAAAACGAATTGAAGTTTAGGAGTGGGGGGTAAAACGTCATTTCTACGTAATGTACATAAAAGTGACGTCACACACTATTTCAAGTAAATATATTGTCGAAAGTATTCGTTTCTGTGAGAAAATATAAAATACGTGTCTAATGATTTAAAATAATCTACCAGACAGACATTAAAATAAAAATTAGGCATCTACCCTATTCTACACATTTTTTTTTTCTGTTTCATAATTGCGTACAAAACCCACTGTCGGCTGATGACATGGTCACTGTGGCGACTCTGTATAAATAATTCAACTCATTAGGGATCGATTGTGACCGCTCCACGATACCCGATAGCTTGTACCGGTATACCTACTAAGCATCACGCTAGACACCACTATATATTTTTATTTTTTGTACTAGCTATTGCCCGCGAATTCGTCCGCGTTGAATATGAATTTTAGAACATACATGACTTTTATTAGGTTCATTTTTCCAACATTAAAGTACCTATCCTATTTTCCTCCTTAGTACATCTGCTACCTGCCAATAAAAGTCTTACAGAACCGGTCCAGCCATTTCAGAGATACCAGCCAATACAAACAGACAGACAGACAAAAATTGTAATTTGGTATGTGTATCGTATGTTCATTCATATTTATGTAGTAAAAAGCAGTTATTTTATTTTAAAAACAGACACTCCAATTTTATTTATCTGTATACATTAGACAAAGATAAAATTTATTAAAGACTAAACAGAAGTATAGAATAATGGTCGATATGGGGTAAATATGTACCTATCCTAAGTATTACCTACATATGATAATTTACTATTTATAAAGGTAGATATAGTAAAATTATCTAATCAAAATCTAAAATAAGACAAAATATTCATAAGTAATTAGTCCTTATGTAAGAACCGTTAAGTCTTGATGGAGCGCTGTGGAGGCTCTCTAGTAATTTCCAATTATCCGCCTATGTGAACGTTCTAGCTATTTAACAAAGCCATTTCTCTAGACTGGCGTTTATAGCATATTGTCTGTTTCAAATCGCTCTAGACAGTTATAAATCTCTAGGCTTTAGACTGACCCTTCCTTCTTGAATTAAGTAAATGTTCGTTCATAATTTTACAACGTTAAAGTCAGTGTCCAGTGTTTGGCTTTCGGCCGACCCAAAAACAACAAAAAATAAGATGTGTAAGATGATTTATGCGGGCAAACCGGCGTCTTACAAAATCTCAAGCCGTCATTTAGACCCCAGACAAGACATTTAATTACTCGTAATTTATCGCCGACACTAATCCGCGAACTTCTGGCCAACAAGAAAAAATAACAAAAAATCTATCCCCTTGATTACAAGCTGTCACGTCGTAGGATTTTTCCTAAGCCCTCGTTTTAATTAGTCACGTCGGTTTGTACGCGTTCTCGAGTGGAGAACATCCATTTTCTTAACTACTGTAATTGCCCCCACCTCTGATGTTGCCAGCCGCAAAATTTATTGCTTAATTACCTCAAGAAAACGCGTCGCGCTCAACATCCCCGACAGATGTTTTTTATTCGCCGTGGAAAAACAAGAACGGTTTAAGAATGACATTAATTAATTCTTAATGAAATTCATCTTCACCCTCGGCTTGTTTTAAATTAAACGCTCGATTTATTACTTGTACAATTTGTCGCGAACTCAACCCTCGTAATTAAAACACGACCATCAGTTATTACATTTATTAGCGACACAAAATAGTTGTAAAAACTCAATTTTATATTACAGGCTGATACTAAAATAAATACTACATCGATATTAAATGCTGTCGAAGGTTAATAGCTTTACGTGGTTAGACGTTTGTGGCTATTTTTTCAAATTGATTTCTTTTGAAAATCGAGCCAGAAACGGCGACTTATTTATTTTAATATTTTCTTTGATACGGTTCGTCGACTGGTCCGTGTATAAGAGGCTCATCATACCGAAAGTATGTAGTATCTGCACGAACTATATCTGGGTAACTCTTATGTGAAATTGGTTCATTATAAGAATCAGCGCTATCGTGGTACTGATGGCTGTTTATAAGATTTCTGTTTGCATTCATTGAAGTCTTGAATTTGTCTTCTTTTTGAGGTAAAATCGGTGTTGGTGTTACTTTGTCTTCTATTTTCTTGTCTTTAGCTACAGTGCCTGCTCCAGCCAAGTCTCTATAATTCCTCTCATCTTTTCTCAAAGGAGCGTAGGGATACCTGCTTCTAAATCTGTAGTCGTACCTTCCATTCCTTGCGTAAACATCATCATCAAAACGCCTGTAAGGGTCTACAGAATACCTGTACCTCAAATCCACACTAGGAGGAGTACGGACCACCTCTGGTAAGTGTGCATAATAAATGATCCTCTTCGGTTTTCTAGGTACCATGTTATCATAAGGCTCATCATATCTATCCACTCGTGGACCGTAGTAAGGGTAGTAGCGTCTTCGATCGACCATATCATAGTATGGATCCCTGCGATACAGATCATCTGGAACTGGGTAGTATCTATCATCATAGAAGAACCTTCTAGATTCTTCTGGAATCGGCGGATTGTAAACAGCTTGTCTTGGGAACACTGGTTTGTACTTATTCCTATCCCTATCTCTGTCTTCATCGGGCCTTACGAATTCTGTTCGGATTTCATCGGTTCTTGTCGATCGTTGCACTGATTCTTTGTCGTTTCGGGATTCTGAAGCTTCTAACGCTTTGTTCTGAGTGACAAAGTTTACTCTTGGCATTCTAGAATTGATCAGATCGCCTGAAGGTTGAGGTGGAGTGAGGATATTGTCTCTTTGATCCCTTTGTTCTCTTTGATCTCTTTGGTCTCTCTGATCCCTTTGGAGATCATCATGACCAGGTATAGGCAGTTTGATCCAGTTTTCATTAGACGCTCTTGCTCCTCGACCTGTTGGTTTGTCAGTCACTCTCTCTGTCGTCTGATACAGAGGTAACACTTCTTTGACTTCATTAGTGATGGATATTTTAGTAGTAGGGTCTTCTGGCGGCAAGGGTCCTGGTATCCAAGGTTGGTTCATGTTCATATTGATGTCTTGTCGATGGGACTGCATGTTGTAGTACTTTTCTTCTTCGATAACTCCTCGTCGACCTCGAACAGAATCAGATTGTACGTTAACCTGTAATTGTAAAAGTAGATATTATAACAACCATAATTGTAAGTAAAACAATTTTTCCCGAACAGTTTACATATCAATATTTTTTTTAATTCTTGGAACTAACTCTCCTGGAACTAACTAGCTCTTTGAAGTATCCTACAGATAACTGAGTACACCTATATGTATTAACTTTTCTAGAAACTTGTAAAATACATCAATGTTCTTTCACTAGCTGCAATAGTTTTGACCCAACGTGTCTCACACCCGAATTCCTCATAATCCGTTCCAAAACCTATTTCTGCTTCAATCTGAGTTGTAACACCGACACCGACATTCTTAAACACATCTGTGTTAATAAATGCAAAGATTTTTTGCATTTAGTAATGTGTATATACAAATCGAACGCGTGTATATTGAAAACAGCTGTAGGTTTTTCCAGGTGGGCTGTAAAGAATCCAGTGGGTGGTAACTCTGTGACCTGTCTAGCTAGGTGTAAACACTGAGTCACGAGTCACTATGAGAAACAGTGCTATTCTGCAGCTACTTGATAATTACTAATTAGTTAATAGAGAGAACTTGACCTACCATTTTAAGAGAATGCCCCATGATTTTAAGTCTCTCGAACTACTCCTAAGTTTAAGATCTAACGTTGCCAAAACAGTGGCAATAGGTTTTCAATTTTGAAATTCGCAAATCCAACTATAGCTATGCCCATATAATGAGGACCCCTCTTTACCATAATATCAATGTGTAACAGACAAACTGACAACAAATAGGCATTAGGACACCCTAATGTATATTTGTCTTTTTTTCTATTTGTTATCAGTTAGCTGTGAACCTACCTACTGTAGATTTCGAAGCAAAAAAATTTGCGATTTTACGTCTCAAAAAATTACAAAATCCAGAATGAAACAATAATTTGAAGCTCGATTTCAATTTAATTCGCATCTTCGTATAATATGAGAATAGTACTGTGGAACATTTTGTTTATTATTTCATCCCGGCTTAGGTTATGCGGTCGCTACTGATAGAAACAAGAGACCAAGTGCGAACAGCTATGTTAGGACAATCCGTTTATTTATTGCTAATCGATTCACTAACAGTTTTACGTTGGTGTCAATTAATACTTTATTCTCTTGCTTTATAACATTTTGTAAGAGATTTATGGCTTTATGGCCGTGTGTGTCTTGTCTGTTTTGAGGTTATGTTTTTTAAGGTTAGTCCGGGATTTTTTCAATGGTATCATACTAGTGGCTACTCTCTGACTCATTGACTTCCGAATATATGTTGTTACGCGCGACGAAATATCAATTTGGTGATGTTTTATTTTAGCAGAAAGTTAGGAATTGTTTACGTGTGAGTCGTAGGATAAGTAGAGAAAATACTGAGTAAGTGTATCTACTAACTTCGATTTTTTGTCGTAAGTAGTTAGGTAGTTTACACCTAAATATAATCCACTCGAGCTATAGCGCTCGGGTCACGGCATTTTAGTTGAACACTGGCCTTTAAGCGCCGTTTTCATTGTTTTTACAATTTTTTCATGTTTTTGTATTTTGTAACAGTGCAAATAAACTGTTTTCCTATCTATCTTTCATGTTTTAGGTAATAAAAACCGATATTTTACAATAACTTACTTCAGTATGTTTATCGAACTCATGCTGGACTTCCATAGGGAACACGACTCGGATGAGAACCCCGCACCACAGCAGTATAGCTTTCGAATGCCACATCGTTGATACTGGTGTTATTGTTCGCTGAAATGTAGAGAAAAAAATTAAATTAATATGTGCAGTAAAAATAAAATGATATGTCCAATGCTGGTATCTATCAACATTTTTATTGTACCTAGGTGCTACGCAAGATAAATCGCCTCGCGATCAGTCACACAATTCACATATTCACTATTCACTATGCAAATAAAAACTTTGAGTTTGAGTCATATAACAAAACTATTCCAGATTTTTATTTCTTCGACAGTACCTAAGCTTCTTTTTAAGGGGGGAAAATCATCGAATGACTGCTCCTGCCTGGGTGACGCGGGAGTGAGTGTCTTACTGACTAAAAACCACCCCGTTCCTACTGCTGCACGTCGAGCCGGAGGCCTGAGAATCCGTTAGGTTCTCCGCGACTCGACAGTAAGCTTGGCATAACAGCTAGAGTAGGTGTCGAAGACTCGATTCCTGGTTATGTTCAGCTACATTTTTGTGATAATAAAACTAAATGAGACAAATATTGGAATGTCTCGTTACGTGATTCTGAAAAACAGTTTCGTCCTGAATGTTACACAACCAGATATCACTTACAAAACACGAGCAAAACCACTCTAAAAATCTAGTATAAACGAAAAAGTAAGTAATACAGTTGGTGCAGTGACCGCGGGTGGTCGGAAGTATGATGAAATCGACGGAAGCATGGCGGGCCAAGCGTGACCCTTATCTGCACCAACATGACCAGTGACCACTGCTAGTTGGACGACCTCGCCTTTTACCATTTCAATTTTCACTAGATTACCCATTTTGTTGTTTTAATTTAGAAGTGTCTTAATAATCTATCCTTGTTTGTAATAATAGGCTGTAGTAATAGGTACTTAAAAATAACAACGTTCTCAGTTTAACTTGTATGTATGTACGTTTGTCCGCTATTATCTCGCGGTTGGCTGTACCGATTTTGATGCGGTATACAGAAAAGTGTTTATCTTCTATACATATAATAAAATCGTAGAAAAGTCAAAACTGTACATTAAATATTTTTTTAAAAGAATACTTGGGCCGTGATTTATAGTCGATACTGAAGCCAAAAATCCGGGATGATCTCAAGAAGTACTGCATGAATTTACTTAAAATTTTGGATGATTATTACTAACAGGTCGGGTCAACATATATAGGCTACATATTATCACGCTACCACCTACGGAGTACGCGCAGTAAATAAGTGTGTTTAGTATATCAAGAGATTTTATTATTGACCAACTTCAAAAAGAGAAGGAGGTTAAAGGTTTATTGATTTAACCATGTTTGTACAGCCAGTACCTACTGCAGAAAAAATTGTTTTTATTATGTTATTGGCATGTGTCACTCTAGATCTAATATCAAAAGTAATCTGTGGAAAGCGTAGTGAGTAACATATTTACCAAGTATAATTTGTAAGCTGAATTATGTATATTTTGTAATATGTTACTGTTTGTGTTTCCTTATTAAACTGTCAAACACCAAGCGGTCACCGGTGACCGCAACCTATTGTTCTTTAATTGTGTCTACCTATATTGACGGTGCTCGACGAGTTAAATAAATAAACCAAAAACATGACAATCGTTTTCCAGGCGTGAAAAACGAACTAAGTAAAGGTCCCTAGCTCAGTAACCGGCCTTGAGATCACTCGTGTCGTCACAGATAGTCAGCAAAAATAATCAATATAGATGTCCAGGTACCAGCAAAATACAGAAATCATCATTTAGTCTGATATTTCGTAAAGTACGGCATTTATCCGTGTCAATAGCATGATGTGATGTACAAATAATGATGACTATCATCGTTTTAGAGCAAGGACGGTAAATAATCATTATTGCTACATAATACCCGTGCGTATGGATTGCTCGACAAATAATTTGATGTCTAATTTCAATTTCGCACTTTTATAAAATTTTGTAATATAATATTATAAAGTCCTCCTCTTTTATGGGATAAGCTGCTAAACGAGCAGACGAATCACCTGATGGTAAGCAATCGGCGCCGCCCATGGACACTTGAAACGGTAGAGACGTTACAAGTGCGTTACCGGCCTTTTGGGGATTAAGAGTTTGAGGATTGTTGGGGATTCAGGTATTGAGGAGATTGGGGAAGGAGGATGGTGTAATTGGGTTGCCGGTAACCTTACTCACACGACGAAACACAACACAAATGTTGTTTCACGTATGTTTTCTGTGAGGCCGCGGTAACATTTCGGTCGAGCCGGCCCATTCGTGCCGAAGCATGGCTCTCCCACTCTTACCTATTCTGTAACATTCAATTCGAAAGATTGTAGGAAACTAGATCATGGTCCTTGGTGAAAATAATCTCGACCACGTACGGGCGAGAATGTTGCACTTCGGAAGTTCAAATGGGCAGTTGCTCAATAACCTAGCTGAGATGTTTAAAGCCTTCTTCGGACAATTGAGTACTTGATCTGACTAAAACTGGGAAGTACAATTTTAAGGTCATCACATAAGTACCTAACAAGCATGGCTCCGGCACGGCTCAAGCACGGCTCCCGCACGGCGTTTGTTGCTTTAGAAACAATACAAAAAGGTTGTAAGCGCGCCGTCGCGTCGCCGCCCGGAGCGTCGGCGGCGCGCGGTCGGCGCGCTTGCAGCTTTTTTATATTGACGTTATGAAATATGTCATTCGACATACGATTTAAAGTTCATATTTAAATGATAAGTTAATTGCTGGGTCTGGGTTAGAGCCGTGCCGAAACCGTGCTTGTTAGCAGTACTATGACTTTTACTAACACTTCGATAATTTGATAGTAATCAGCAAAAGTACCACCAATTTCATCACCATATTGCCAATTAGTTGCACCCACTTTTCCACAGAAAACATTTTAGTGGCATATGGGCGAGTCCATTGCCGTTTGCCTAAATTAGACTGTAAAAGGAAATAGCACATTGTAATGATGAATAACAAACTGACAGCTTCCAACTATTGTCAAAGAATTCAATAGTTTACAGTTACTAGTGTGTATGTACCTAATGAAATCAGGCAAAATGATGGAAAAACTAGATGACATAGGAAAACGTCCAAAAGTCCAACCCTTTCTACATATGCCTAAGTCTAACATAATATAAAAAAACTCTAATGACGAGTCTCAAAAAGTACTAAAGCAAAAGTAAGTAGTTAAAGAGTACTCACGTGTTGCTCACGTGAATATATTGAGAAAAGCTCTACTAGTTTCTTTATAGTTAAAGATCACCTTCACTTTGCAAAACCAAACAAAGTTGACGACCCCCAAAATGACTAAAGAAACAGTCACAATGATCAATGACCCATCCAACAATGAGTAGAGGATCCCATAACCGTTTATTTGGTGACAGACTGCATGTTCCGGTCGACAAAACCGAACAATTGTATCGATACCGTTAATCTATTGAAGGCTCGCTGACCTAGTTTAGGGCAACCCATTAGCCCTGGTCATCAGGCTATTCAAATAGCCTGGGAACGTATTTGTGGGTGAAATCTTGATCGATTTTTCACAGTGATACTGTTTGTATGCTAATCGATCGATTGAGGTTGCGGAAGTAGGATAGTTTGGATTGTTTTGCTATTTCGCTGTGCTTCAAGTGCACTATCGGCCTTTTGATAAAGCATCTTTAAAATAAAGTCGCATTGGCTAAGTCAGTCACAAATATTTGACCTATCCTATTCTAATGTCGCGGAAAACCTAACGGGTAACCGGGGCTCCGGCGCGACGTGCAGGAGAAGGAACGGGGTGGTTTTTGTCAGTAAGAGTCTGACACTCCCTCCCGCCTCACCCAGGCGGAAGCAGTCATTTGATGATTTTTCCCCTTAAAAAAAAATCCTATTCTAATATATTCTAAGGAACTAAACTAAACATATATTTGTTTATGTTGGATTTAGGTATCTAAGTAGGTACTTTGAGTCTTCAAGTTTAAGACTGCTGACAGAAAACAGTTGCTGTTGACTATCGAAAGCAAATTTTCAGCTGACACCGGTCACCGTGACCTATACGTTGTTTAACATGTTAAGACTACCATGATTGGACTCGGTCACGGGACAGTCGGTCAGTTAATTGGCTCATTATGTCTGCTGTAACCTGTATGCCTCTAATAGATAATGAAGGGTAACTAGAAGGCACATGTGGTTTATAAACAGAACACACTGGCCCGCTACGCCACGCGGTTACCTAGTTAGCAATGGCTTAACTATACTGTTCCAGGCTCGTGACAGATTCTTCGGATGGGACCCTGTTCTCTAACAAAGAGAGACGTTCAGATGAAACCCTTTGAATTGGTTACTTGCCAACTAGTCAAATTCAATACTTTCTAAGAATTTTCTACGAGATTGTGTTACGTTTTCCTAGCGTCAAACATTATACTTATTTCTTAAAAATTTGCTGGAAAAATACTAAAATTAAGCTGGTTATAAAATCAAATAATTAATGTATATTTTGTAAATAATTTATTTTTGATTAAGGAAAGTACCCAATTGGGGTCGTTTCTAGCTGTAGGCCGTGTATTTTGACGACTTACCGCCCTGTAATTACGCTACTGTACCTCGATTGGCAGATATGCTGGTTAAACTGAAATGTTGGGTCTACAAATGTAACTTATTCAACATAACATAACATCACGCCTTTTATCCCCGAAGGGGTAGGCAGAGGTGCACTTTTTGCCACTTTTTGAAGTTACACCCACTTTTCACTATTTATGTTATGAGTCCCATGTAATAGGGGGTGAGCCTATTGCCATATACCGGGCACATTTCCAGACTCCGTGCTACTACTGATTTTTTAAAAAACCCAGTAATACTTTGCCCGACCCGGGAATCGAACCCAAGACCCCTTGCCCGGCAGTCGCACTTGCGACCACTCGGCCAACGAGGCAGTCTAACTATTGGTAATAAATTGTTAATTAGTAGTTATATGATTAACAGTGGAGATTTTAGAATAATGGCAGAGACACTCGTCCTAACTAGCGAGCCATTGACAAAGAACAAGCTAATCATAACTCATTCGTGTTGTTCATACCTAGATTAGTACCAGACTTCACCAAACACATGAAAGATGAATGCTTCGGAAGCTAAATTTTGTGGACAGCAATGACGTCAGAAAACTCAAAATCAAGAATTATTTCGACAGATAGTAAGTAATCCGACCCAAGTTCTTAGACCATTCAACCTAGTTACATTCCACAGTTTAGAAGTGCATGGAACACATGTTTGTAATCTGATCTATTGACTTCATCATCGGCTTATCTAGATCAAATCGTCAATCAGAAAACCAATATGGCTACTAGTTTTTAAAAAAAGTATCCGCGAATTAAATCTGCTATCTGAGTATCTACTAATTCCAAGTTGTAGATTTTTTTAAGGGGGGTAAATCATCGAATGTCGGAGGAGAGGGATAGTCAGACTGACTCGGACTCTTACTGACTAAAAACTACCCCGTTCCTTCTCCTGCGCTTCGAGCCGCAGCCCCGGTAACCCGTTAAGTTCTCCGAGAATCCAAGTTGTAGATAGAGATACCTATATCTCTATCTTCTATACCCTATATGTACTTGTTTTCTATATACCCCTACAGTACACCCACAGCATACCCGTATGTTTGAATGACACATCACAAGTTTTGGAAATCAAAATACTGAATAATAAATAATATTTGGTCTATTTCAACCCCTAAGTGGGAAGTCCAAGTCCTCAGACTAAAACCACTGCAACCCCAGAAGTGCGAGAAAAACATTCGCCCCTGCTGGCATCCGCACCAGGGAGTAAAGTGTAGACCTTTCCACCACAGTTGTAATCCACTTCGGACGTTCGCGTGGACCTATATTACGAAGTGACGGGACTTGTCTACTCCACCATCTCCGGACCCATTTAGGGGGTGGCAGATGTGCAATTTCTGCTCTCCTCCTATAGGTAGGTACCCCATGCGCCTGTTGCAGAATAATGGAAAAGTTGTGTAATTTCCCTTTTCCCATCCGTAGTCTTCTTCGCGGTCATGACTTCTTCACATGACACACAAGATCAAATATTAACTACCTTCAAACAAATCTGTCTGATTCATGACATGTGGTGCAAGATAAATGCAATGACTTCGTAATCAATATCACATTCAATTCACGCAATTATCATGTAAAATCACCCTTAATAAAAAACAAAGGATGTAAATTATTTACATTGCTAAAATACCTATAAATTACACAATAACATTACAACTACGTTTAGACAGTACCTGCAATAATCACAATAGACAGGGACCAGGCAGCATTTTGATCTAAACATGAGATAAACGAGTTCAAAAAAAGCTGCCTGACATAAAGGAAGAACAGAATAACCAAATGCCTTTAGTTCAAACTACAAATAATAAAAAAAAATGTAAACCTCGTTACGCGCCAAAATACTTAAAATTATAACCTCAAAATAAATAAGTACCTACCTATTTAATAAATAAAAAAAAGCCTTACCTTCGCATAATCCTATGGTCGTCACCAGCCACCTATCTCGGCACAGTTCGCCAGCGTAATGGCGATAGGGTCCTGCCTAACTCCGGTCACGGCACACGACCATATTGTTCGTGGACACAATCAAACACCGTTTCCATTGTCAACGTCGAAAATCTATGTGATACGGTTGATGGGAAAATGTTGAGTATTGTTAGTAGGTATTGAGGTATTGAGACTACAAAACAATGTTAGGAATAAGATAGAATCTCTTGTACTATCTTGGATTATCTATAAAAGACATAGCGTTGTAAAAGTATCATGTTGAATCGATTTAGTTTTAAATAAAAACGTCGATTCCTATCTTTACAATTATCTCCTGTGTCGTAAGTGGGTTTATAAACACATACTTTCACATATAGGTACAATCAGGTACATCACACCCAGAGTCTGAACAACAATTTGTGGATTACACAAACAGTTCCGTGCTGGATTCGAACCCGCAACAGTATGTTGTATCAATCGGTGACTGGGTGCCACAGCCAACCATGCAATCAAAAATAATATCTAATGAAAAGCAAAATAATGGCGGATGGATCAACGCCTCATACAGAAGGCAGTTCTCCTAGAAAAGGCACGTATCGTGAAGAGGTTTCTGCCTCTGGAGCCCTAACCACCGGGATCTTAGACCATGCTCCCGGTAAGTACTGGTCGGCTCCTATGTTTTATATATAAGTACATATATTTTTGTTTTTGTTAGTAGTTAAGTACCTAGTAGATATTTAACCCTTTAACCGCCGACAACGTAATATTACGGTTTTCGAAAGCTGTGTCCGAATCGCCACATACGTACAATCACGTTATTTTATTAAAAATCTTCTTATAGTGCACAAACTCCATATAAAAAGTGTCAATTTCAAGATGTAGGGTATAATCTTTATTGTTATGGATATTTCTCAATGTTTTGAGTGATAAATACTGTGAAATTTGAGGTTTAATTAAATTGTGGTCACCGTCTCCATTATCTGTATCGCCAATCACGTAATTTTACGAGTACTAGGGATGGGGCGAATTCGAAAAATACTTAATAGGTTGTCTAAGAACAAACAAGGCACTATAGATATTACTGTCACTATTTGCAATGAAAGTGTATACTTTCATTAGAAAATAACCATAGTGTTACTTTGATGCAAGTATTTGTACTAATTAAAATGTATTTAAGTTTAAAATTATTTAATATTTATAACAATAATATAAAAATTTCATAACGCCGAACCGCACTAGTGCGGACAATCGCCGGTCGCCATCATCGTAATATTACGTGTGGCCAAGGAGATTATAGCGCTGTATTGTGAGTTGCCTTAGCGCCGTCACCGTAAAATCACGTTAAACATTTATCACTCAATGCAACTAGTGTTGTAAGCCCTTTTTTGGGTTTTTGTTATTTCTCAAATAAATCAACACAGTCAAAACCAAATGTGTCCATTATGCAAAGTTAGAAGATGGTGACGCAAAAGTTTTTGATCAGAGACCAAGTGATCCACGAAATGAATACTTTGCATCTTTAAAACCTTTTGAGCTGGAAACCGTACTGTCGGAAATCCGCTCAGAAGTTTACATGAAATTATTAAATTTAATACAACATGCTCGTGGAGCATCGTCACCATCGCCAGCAGGAGAACGGACGACGCCGTGGCCATTTCCCGAATACTCATTTTCGTACACTTCGTTTGAAGATTGAAAATTTTTAGCTTATTTATTAAGTAGGTAAATAAAACATTGATTTTAATTAATAAAGAATATATGCATCGATATTAAGTGTTCCCAACACTGTTCCAACTTATACCTAAAGTGACGTGGCGCTGGAGGTAAGTTGAAAGTTCAGAAGCTTGGCGGTTAAAGGGTTAAAAATATAATTTATAGAGAATTTTAAATAAATATATGAAAAACAAAACATTCAAGTAGTCGAAAATCTTGCAACCACATTTATATTATAAGTAAAAAGATTACCTTTTTTAATAATGAATATTTATAATAGCTGAATAATAATACTTCAAAAAAAACATCAATGGAAACACATACGAATAACTGTAATTACTTTTATAATGTTTGGCAAACAATGTGCACATACGACCGTGTCGCCTGTCGCGACACCACGCTCTCTGCTGAGCCCCATATCTGATGGCGCGCAGATTACAGATTATCTAACATTTTAGTTAAATTCCCATCATGTACGGAAATACACACATAATACTTTTCGTATTATAAATGTTATAATCTGATTATTTGATTATTTTTCTATTGTTAATTCCGGCATTGGATTTCGTCTGAAACTCTGTATCATTGTACCCACTCATGACAGATTATCAAGCTACATTGATATAACATCACGCCTTTTGCTGCCCAAATATGTAGTTAAGCAAGTTTTGGTAACTTAATTAGTCCAATTCTATGTAATGAGAGACAACAATATTGCAAATTACGAAGAATTTGAAGACGGTAAGCATCAGTAGATAATAGATTTAACAGTACACCCAATGTGTAGTTCTTTACTTCATTTTAAAGTTTTGTAGCCAAAAAGAAAGTTATTATAACAGTACATATTATGGCGACTATGGCGTTCTCCATGCCATATTATAGCATTCTAGTATGAAGTTAAAAAAAATAATTAATTTTGTTGCAGGAAGTTCGTTGACTCACGATCACACCATTAGCAATTGTAAACTCTTGCATTACTCATAGAGTATGATATCTATGACGAGATTAAAAAAAAATATCTTCTGGTTTCGCGCTTTACTGCGCATTTAAAAATGATTTTAATTTTCATAGACAACTGCATACCTCCACTATCCTGTCACTTAGTAAATAAAACGAGTATAAATTGTGAGTAAAAGTTTAATATAAAATATCAATGCTCCTTATTTGGTTTAGGTGAGACATAAGAACTTTGCCTAACACAGAAAGAAAAAAACCAAATAATTGATATATAAAACTTTAATACTATTATTGTTCAGTTTTAAAATAGCCATTGAAGAACTTAAATGCACTCTTGTGTACAGACGAAACAAATTGTGATAAATAATAATAAGATACGTAGAGTAAGTATTACATTAGACATTATTTAGTGTTGGAACTCTAAATTAAGGCATCGTTAGCACTAGATTATGCGAAAGCTAAACCATATCGCGTAACAGGTATTATAGAACACCACTGTTGCACGACAATTACAAACTAGGTATTTAATACAGTTCCAAATTGTTTTAAGAACTAAATCTATAGTTTTAATACTCTTTCGGATTAGGCCTGTCTTTTTGCCGTTCACACATAAGTATTCTTACTTAATATAGTATATAGTAATAGTATTTTTGGATGGATTCGAGTATAAGGTGTGCTTGGGTGAGCTAGCGGTCTGAGCACAACAAACTAAAACTGGCCAAAAATGTACACCTAACGATACCTAAGTTCTTTACGCGAAAACTTAATCAAATGCTAGTGAACTGACATACAAGCTTATACATTACTGACATCGTAATAACTAAGATGAATTGGATAAACAAATAAATAGTATTCACTATTTAATAAAACATATTTCATTAGACTCTTGTTGTTATTATTCATTTTACATAATTGTAAAATGCTGAATACCGAATTATGACGTCACAGCTACGTTACTTTGAGCTGTCAAATGCAAAACGTTTTTCTTTTAAAGGAAATTTCCCATGGTAGTCTTCAGTATGAGTATGTTGTGACTATAGATTTAGTCCTCGTACAAGTAAATTAGAATGTTTATAACTAGGCTAGTGTTATTCCATGGCAGCCATCTGTGAAGGCGTGGCCGGCTCGTTGCCGTTCTTCTTCTTGGAGCCAGAGACGATGTCGTCAATTCTGAGGAGTAGGATCGCTGTCTCCACTGCTGTTTTGTATACCTGGAAAATGACAAATGTGAATGTACTTTAAGTGGTGATATAGTATCAATGAGAGCTACCGAATATGAATTTACCGCCCGGAACGATAAGCCAATGCAGGAAAAGGTCACATATCCAAGCTATTAGTTAATAATTATGCAGTCATTAGACAATCTTTTCAGAGGTATTAAAACTAGAAATACATTATCTCACGCCATATTGGCATCATTTGGAGACTAGAAAGACGATACGTAGCCATTGGGGGCTACTGTTTTCCTTGTGTATAACTAATATTGACTAACTTTTACCGACTTCATTTTTTCTACAGACATGGTGTAAAACGAGTTGCCATATATAACATTGATATTCAGTTGAATAGAATTAGTTCAAAGCTCTGGGAAAAAGTGGGTCTCAATGTTAAAAAAGTGAATAAATTGACTGTTTAGTAATAATTACCTGCAGTTTAACAGCTAATGGTTCCCAGATCCCCTTGACGGCCATGTCGACGATGTCCCCCGACTCCCCGTCGATGCCGGCCGTGCTGCAGGCGGCGGCGTGTCGCGCGCGGAGTGCCGTCAGCGTGCGGATCGTGTTCGCGCCACAGTTCTGGGCCAGCGTGCGGGGGATTATCTCTGGAAGGAGACAAACATTGTGTTATTTTGGGTTTGATTAGTGAGTTTTGTAAGAGGATAACTAAAAGCAACATGTATATCATAACATGTCTTGTTTATTTAAATTCCTAATAGACATGACAACAACTGCATGTATTAAAACAACAACCACATATCAACCAGCAAGATGACAAACTATTATATATTATTTGTATCTGAGATTGAGAAAAATTTGATAATCCATAACTTTACACAGCACTTTTGCAATCAAAAACTTAACAATACTTTGCCAAATCGACCCAGCGATCTCTTACTCAGATAGAAAACTAAGCTTATTTTCTCCTATATCACGACAGCAATCCGAAGTTTGTTAGAAAACTATAAAAAACGATATAATCTTATTTATTGTTTATGTATATGCATACAACACAAAGGACAACACATATATGCATGTATATATATTGTATTGTACTCGTGTGTAGGTATACATATTATTTATTATATTTATTTATGTTCATATCTGAAATATGTTAGTATAATCTTCTATTTTCTTAATTAAATCGTTGCTTGTTTCTTGCTCCTACCATTCACTCTTCTCTGCATCACTCAAAGGTCAGATTGGGAGAAAATGCCTGTGGCATTAAGTCCACCTTGTGTACAGTATGTGCATGAAGTGTTAATAAATAAATAAATATATAAAAACAAAGTACATATGTCATGGTACCTAGTGCCTGTGCGACCGCGCGGTAGGGCGTGTTGTGCGCCGCGTTGGCGGCCAGCGCCTGCGACACGGCCATCTCCACCGCGCCGCCGCCCGCCACCAGGCGGGGATTCAGCACCTGGGACACAAAGTATATTTGTGATACCACACTACAAGCAAAACACGGATATACACTGTGTGAGGAAAGATATCAAATAATAGAGATTTCGTCACGTTGACGTCTATCTGATATACCACATAGCACTATCCTGTTGGATACAATCTACTATCCCAAGGTGTTACCTTGGGATAGTAGAATAGAAGATGTTTCGTAATTATACTTTTTTCTATCATATAATAATTTAGATACATACTACATAATATATCAGACACATAATTATTACTTCAGAACATAACATCACGGTTTTTATCCTCTAAGGGGTAGGCAGAGGTGCACATTGTGGCAACTGTACAATGTGACAACCACTTTTCACTATTTATGTTATCAGTCCCATGTAATAAGGCCCTATTGCCCATATATTGGAGACAATTCCAGACTCCGTGCGACTGAGATTTTTTTTAAACCCAGTTATATTTTGCCCGACCTAGGAATCGAACCCGAGACCCCTTGCCCAACATTCGCACTTGTGACCACTGGACCACCGAAGGAGTCGCTATTACTATACTATTGCTTCAGAAACATGGCTTGAACTATACTCGGAATTTTAATTCAATTCCAGATTTGACAATTTCAGTGTTGCAACGTTATGACAAGTACTAAATAGTGACGTTGCGAAATTATTCGATATGGAAATGCAATATTTCTGGATCGATTCTTCTCGTTTATAATTTAACTCTCGTAAACTAAGTATATCAGGAAATTAAATATTTCTGAACTGATAATTTAGTTTTGACGATTCATTAACGATCTGAGACTTTTCTTTTATAATTGTGATATAAATAAAAAAAATGTAATCATGAAGGAATATGACTTTTAAAACAGATAGATGTATTATGGTAATATAATTTATTTTATAAATTGTCGCCGTCATCGCTATCGCTATCCTGTCACTTTCTGTAACATTTATTATAAAACACACACACTGATTGTTTATCGATTTTTGTGTTAATCACTACACTATTATATGTAGTATTTCACAAAATGACAGTAGCTAATGTCAAATCTCTAATTAAAATTCTGACTATAGTTGAGTTCTTCGTCACAATGACCTAAGCCAGAAACGTAATAATTAATTCCAGTCATGCTCTTGTGCATGATTTGGTATAAATAATAACTAGTTATTACTTACCAAGTTCTTGGCAACATGTAGAGCGTCCTGCAGATTCCTCTCAATCTCGTTAAGTACATCCTTTGACGCGCCGCGGAGTAAGATGGTACACGCCTGTAAAGAAAAAATAATTAAGTAAAACTGGGCACAAGGAATCACTTTTGATCATGAAAACATACAGTTTTTAACCTTCGAATTCTCATGAACTTAGGAATTGTGTTTACCACAATAAAAATAATTACATGACCCAGTAATACACGAAGTTTAGTAATAAAGCCACTGTTTGACAATATGCTCGAAGGGTGAAAAGTAGAAGCTTTCAATGCATGTTGGGTTAGAAAACTGTGATAAAATTTTCACTATCCTACTCAAATCTATACTAATATTATAAAGCTGTTTTTTTGTTTGTTTGTTTGAACGCCATTTATCGAGCAAGGCTATAAAACATGTCGCTACGACCAATAGGAACCGAGCAGAGCGGGTGAAACCGCGCACAAGTAGCTAGTGAACTAGATAAAACTAAAAACGTTGAAAAAAGGCGACGTAAAGTGACTCAGAAATGATGGAAGCACCAAAATTTCAGTGGTGTATTTGTGTGTGCGTATACTCGCAACACTATAATGTATGAAGTGTAATGACAGGCCATGTCACGTGACTGAAGTCCTTCGTATCAATGTGTGTGTGTATTCTGCGTGTAAGTCTATAGTAGTCAGGAGCCACAGTCGTTGTTTCAAGAAACTATGTCCGCTTTTTTTCAACATGCTTGGATAAAACAGTCTAGCAAGAAACCTCGACAATGAAAAATGTAGTATGCTAAATTAGCGACCCGCCCCGGCTTCGCACAAGTGCAATATACATGAATTATATATATAAACCTTCCTTAAGAATCGCTCTATCTATTAAAAAAAACCGCATCAAAATCCTTCGCGTAGTTTTAAAGATCTAAGCATACATAGGGACATATAGACAGCGGATTGTGACTTTGTTTTATACTATGTAGTGATAGTGATAAAATAACGTGATTTAGTATACCTTAGGGTTCTTGCACTCAGTAACAAAAGTGAAGTACTCGTCTCCGATCTTCTTGACCTCGAACTTGCCGGCCGCAGTGCCCACGTCGGACTCCTTCAGCTCCTCAGTGCGGTTCACGATGGTGGCGCCGCAAGCACGGGCCAAACGGTTGTTGTCGGTTTTACGAAGTCTGTGCAAAAAATATAGATTTTTATGATTTATGCTATACTAGCTTTTACCCGCGGCTTCGCTCGCGTCACAAAAGGATAAAAAGTAGCCTAGGTTACATATACCAATACACATAGCTCCATCTATACCAATACTTTTGTTTTCCCTCGGGAATATCACATTTTTTCGGGATAAAAAGAACCCTAGTATTTAATCTGGACTTCTAACTTTACGTCTGTAAAAAATTAAAGCAATCGGTTTAGTAGTTAGAGATTTAAAAGGATAAACAGTTAACACCCAGCGCATGCTGAAGGATACTACAAAGAATTTTAGTAAACCTACATTTCTATAGCATTCCTACCCTTAAGAAGTGTTTTTTCTAAAAGTGACATCTAACAGAATTAAAACAAAACTGTTCCAATCCAATTGCACTTGCAATCGGCGCTACAAAACAGCAAAGTAAGGAGATAACGAAGGGCGCAGTTGTTGTATCTATTGATTTTAAAATTCGCTAGATGGCGCTGTGTAATAGTTGTCCCGAATTAGTTTCCTAAAATGGCGTGAAAGGCTACACTGAGTTATAAAAATAGACGTGTAAAGTAGCATATTATGTATATTGATAATTCAAATGAGAAATTATTTAAAAATATAATAAGTAAATAACAATAAATTAAAGACAAGTTTATAGAGTTTAATTAGAATTAAAATTTTACCTGCGAATAGCTGTAATGCCAGCCTTAACGAGGTAGTGTTGCGCGAGGTCAGAGATTCCCTTCTCGGTGAAGACAATGTCTGGCTTGAGGGCGATGATCTCCTCACACTGACGCTGAACGTGCTCCTCTTCCAACTGAAGCAGTCTTGTGAAGTCCTGGACGACAATATTGAATTCATAAGTAAAATGAGTAAATATTCAAGAATAATGTAATAAATCTTGTAAGTAATCGTGTATTACAGCAGATGATGTGTATGTCATTGTTTTTCTTATAACATAAAGAGGTGATGAATAACATTCTTGGAATCAGTTCTTTTTCAGATTTTTAACACTTTTTTTAGGGGGGGAAAACCATAGAATGACTGCTCCCGCCCGGGTGAGGCGGGAGGGAGTGTCAGACTCTTACTGACTAAAAACCACCCCATTCCTTCTCCTGCACGTCGAGCCGGAGCCCCGGTAACCCGTCAGGTACTCCGCGACTCCGAATCGGCATCGGCCCTGTTGGGCCCCATCTGTGGTGGCCTGATGGCTCTTAGAGGCGCGCGTGGAACGCGACGCGCCGTACGCTCGGGTCTGTTTCTGGTCGGACGGGGAGCCACCCATGCTCGCCGTCCGCAGGCCCGCGCTTACGGTGGCCGGAGATCGTCCCGCGACCCCCGACGCCCGGTGTGTCCTTCGCGATGGCTGGGTTGCGAGGAGGCAGCGCTTCGTTGCCTCACGCGTCCCGCCTCCTCCTTAGCTAGCATGACTGCATCGCAAAAGGAGGAGACCGCATCTCAGTCCCCCTCGCTCCGCATCATGGCCTGCACTAGGCCCGGACGCGAGAGGTCGCCATTGCCGATCACTTCCCTGAGGGCACGGTGGTGCTCAGCCCACGCAGGACATTCTGCTACAGTGTGTTCCACCGTGTCCTCAGGGCGGACCTCGCAGTGATGACACCCGGGTGTTTCCTCCCGCCCCAAGATTTTTTACACTTAGCTACACAGTTTAATACATAACTTCACGCCTATCTCCCATCACTGAGCTAAACAGTTTAATTTGAGTATAAATACGTCATAGATATATTATAAGCCACAAAGTGTAAGATTTAAGTATTGCTTGAAAGATTTCTAATTATTACACTTAGATAGATATCATTCAAAACTCTCAATAAACTCTCATTTAGAAGGAGTAGGAGGATGGAAAAAGGCTGATATTGATAATAACAATTTACCTGTTCTCCTAAGATCTCAATGTTGGTCTGGCTCTCTCCCTTCTTGTACTCAAGAGGGCAGTCAAGCAGGATGATACGAGGGTTCTCGATGTAACGCCGCATCTTAGCGTGAGTCACATCCTTGTTGAACATCACTCCGTTCAGTACTTTGGACTCTTCAATAGTACCACCTGGAATCTTCTCTACTTTGGCATAGCTGAAAGTTTATGAGATATTAGTGAATATTTAATATTTTTTAATAAAAAATGCTTGTGTAGCCTGGAGTATGAATTAACCAAATTTACTATGATCTTTACAATGGTATCTATGTTCTTCAAAAATTCTTATAAGATAAATTTCAATGACATAGATAGCTATACCACTAAGTTAAGTACTTATCAGTCGCAATATCAACTTTGGGTTGATTATTTACTAAAAGTAACAGTTTACTCCATTACTTTTCTCATCATAAAGTTAATAGCAAACAATTAGCAAACACAGGAACAGAAATCATGCTTTTGATCAAATATTAAAAGAATATACTATTCTATGAAGACTTACTTCTTAATATCTACTTCAACGCGTCCATTGTCATTGATAGTAACTGTGTTGACAGCATCCAGTGCAATATCTACAGCGAGGTCAGCCCAGCGACCAATGTACTTTGTGCCCACACAGGAACGGATCTGGAATACAAATGAGGTTATTGTAATATTCAAAAAGAACTTTAGGTTACATGAAATATCTGGAACACAAAATATAACACACAATAACACAGTATAACTGTAGTTGTCTGTATGAATTCTGAACAAGAAACCATCTTAATATTCATTCAGGTTATCTAGCCTATGAATCATTTTACATGGTGTTACATGCAAAATGAAAATGACAATGAAAAATGCTTACTATTTTTATTTATTTATTTAGTCTTTCATGTACACAATTTTATTATGGCACATAAGGCGAACTTAATGCCGTAAGGCATTCTGTATTTCTCTCAATGAGTATACTACTCAGAGGGATAAACATAGGCACATGCACATTAGACACAATTAACGAACAATAGGTGTGCGGAAACCAGTGTCCTCGCGGGGTTTGACAGTTTAACGCATACAGCTTGTATCTAGTACAAGCTAGATAGTCACTATAATCTTGTCAAACATTGTCTGCCACCACAACTTTCACATTAATCATCAAAATTAAGAAAAACTTATAACCAATAAATTCACTACTAATAAACAATACTTACAACTTCCTTCAACTTGTCTCTATCATTCAAGTCAATAGGTATGGAGATCTTGTCCTGTAGCAATTTGACAGCATCTTCCAGAGCCTGTCTGTACTCCCTGATGATGACTGTCGGGTGGATATTCTGGACGAGGAACTGCTCAGCAACAGCCAGCATCTCTCCAGCCAGGACAATGACTGATGTTGTGCCATCTCCCACCTAAAATAAAGGTAAGGTATTAAAAATCTAGTTGTGTCAACATTTCAAACATATCATTACAAGATAACAGAATAGAAAGCAAGCAGAACTTATAAACCCTTCGATTTTATACAGTTTGAATTTGTGTTACTAAATTACTGATATCTTACCAAATTCCCTTCAATCTCTTATCAAAAAGGACAAATGAAAAATCATAAAACATGATACATAACTACAATTTTGTATCAATTCATTAGAAGAATTATTTTGTCAGACAAATCTTACAAGAATGTAATTTGCATTATCTACACTATTTCTACTTGAAATCTAGTTAACCCTTATATATAGACTTATCTATAAAGTCCTTAAATTAATATATTGAGACTATTCAAATTATTAAACTGCTGCACTGTACCTTATACTTAGTGCTCCCACACACAAGTTGACAAGCATAATGATTCATAAAATTATGTGACAAAAAGGAAAAGATTATTCCACTTATGGCAGCAGTTAGTTTATTTCATAGAACCAATTCAGTTAACTAATATTATTTTGATAATTTTTTACCCTTTACTCAAAGAACAAAGGAATTATATCTATGATTCTAGAGGTACAACCAATGAAACAGTAATTTTTCTAACCTCTTCATCTTGTGTTCTGGCGATTTCAATCATAGATTTAGCAGCCGGGTGCTGCACGGTGATCTCACGGAGGATAGCATTGCCGTCGTTGGTCATCACGATACCTCCCATCGGGTCCATCAACATTTTCAACATAGCCTGTGGTCCGAGGCATGTTCGAATAACGTCGGCTATAGTCTAAAATACACACAATAATAAAGATTTTACTACTGTATTCGGCAGTTTGTAACGAAAATTTGTAATTTCTAATACATTTAGCATCAATTCACCTTTCCAGCATTTATATTCTCCAGTTGAACTTTCCGGCCGGAGTCACGTTTTGTGTTTTGGCCTGAAAGAGTTTTACCACTGTTGAATGGAAATCACAAATTACAATGATGATATCACATCAATTAAACTTTTATACTTACTGAGCACTAAAATAGGTTGTTGGCCGAACATTTTGATGGTTCTTTTATTATATTAAATTCCGTGAATCTAAAATATACTTCCAGAAAATCTACGAATTTCAAGAGATTCACGAAAATCGCGTGGTGACTGAAATGTTGCCAGACTAAATAAATAAATAAATTTGACTTTGATTGAATAGTTCGCATTACACGTATTTAATAATCTTATTGACAAGTCAGCTTTTATAAAATTTTAATATTTTAATATTTTTCTCAGTCAATATTTGGCTTTTTAAATAATAAACACGTAAGAAATAATAAATACACAGAACTAAAGAAGAGAACAATATTTGTTTTAGCACTAGCAACTTTGAAAGGGCTGTCAAATTTTACATTTGATTGCCAATTAAATAAATTCTAGTTCGTTGTCAGCTTCAAAAAAGAAAAATAACTAAAATTTTATTCTTAATTTAATGAATTTATTAAAAAAATTATAAAAACTAATTTATTTTTACAATTCTCATATATAAACTTTAATATTTAAGGGTCTATGAGTTGGAGTGTAAAACATTGCAACTGACTGACAATAGATGGCGTGATATTTTTCAGTTTTCATTAAAAATTATTCTAGTAACTAGATAGCAGAACAAACTAAATTTTAAAATATTTTCACATAGATGGCCCACCAAACCAATTGGTTTTATTGTATAGCAATATTTTTAATAGCCCTCAAAACAAATTATATAAGTACAGCAATGCAATGAGACAAAACTTGATTCTAATAATATTATTATTTCCTTTCTTTTATACTAGAATTATATAATCTATTTTTTTTTATGGGATAAGCCGGTTAACGAGCAGATGGATCACCTGATGGTAACCAATCGGCGTCGCCCATGGGACACCTGTAACTCTAGAGGCGTTACAAGTGCGTTACCACCCTTTAGGAATTTGAGGATTATTGGGATTCAAGGATTGGGGAAGGGGGGGGGGTTCGGGGTAATTGGGCCTCCGATAACCTCACTCACTCACACGACGAAACACAACGCAAGCGTTGTTTCACGTCGGTCTTCTGTGAGGCCGTGGTGTTCCTCCGGTCGAGACGGCGCCCAAAGGTTTAAATATTCGATTAAGTATATAAAAAAGACATACTATTATATTATTATGTCGGATAAAGTGTAAAACAAGTTTGTGGTATAATGGGGGGCGGGGGGTAAGTCTACTGTCGCATTATCTAGGTACTTACTGAAATTCTCGAAAAAGTTTAAAAAGCCCAAACAACACTGCGCAATTGACGGGAATCGAAGCCAGATCCCTATTATTGGTAGTTAGTTACACTTGTCCCCTCAACCAAAAGGGTTTATCCCCGAAGGGGTAGGCAGAGGTGCACGTTACGGCACTTAATGCCACTGTACAATGTAACACCCACTTTTCACTATTTACGTTATAAGTCCCATGTAATTGAGGGTGAAGGCTGAGCCTATTGCCATATACCGGGCACAATTTCAGACTCCATGCTAGAATTTTTTTAATACCCAGTAGTACTTTGCACGACCCCGGAATCGAACCCGAGATCCCTTAGCCGGCAGTTGTGACCACTCGGCTAACGAGGCAGTCTTATTTTTTGCACGAATACTATATAGGTATCTACTTACATAATTATTTTACGTACTTACCTAACGCCAGAATACTGAAAGGCTACTCAATCTTAAATTGTACTTAAATATCGTGCCATCTCTGTCATTTTTCAAAGAATTTGTAGTGACAGAACTATACTTAAGCGCGACGTAATGGAGTTTCGTTCGAGTATTTGGACATAAACCAATAAAACAAAGTGTAGATACAGATACATTTAATATGAGGATCAATTTATTATAGCAGGGTAGTTTCCTAAATTTTATTTTAATGTCCGTCTGGTACATGAATTTAAAATATTAGACACGTATTTTTTCTTTCCTCACAAAATTAAATACTTTCGACGATATATTAATTTGAAATATCGTGTGACGTCACAGCGTGCCACATTTTGTAGCACATTATGACGAACCAACCTAAACTTAGCGACAATTTATCTAAGTATTGCAACTTAATACGAGAAAATAAAAAAATACGGGTCCAATATTTTTTCATTATCTAACTGACGGACTTATTAGATTTTTTATTTTGATACCTTGGAAACTACCCAATTTCTAACTAGGTTGATAACTAGATACATACATGGTACCTATACATTTAATTATTTAGAAAGATTAAGTACATAAGTACAATACATTACAATTTTTATACAGTCCAGTGAGTCCAGTGACTAAATAAGTAGTTAGATTCAGTTACAAAATCTCTGTCCGATCCGGTCATTTTTTTTATGGAGGCAAACGAGCAGACGGATCACCTGATGGTAAGCGATCAGCGCCGCCCATGGACACCCGCAACACCAGAGGAGTAAAAGATGCGTTGCCGGCCTTTTAATAAGGAATACGCTCTTTTCTTGAAGGTATGAAGGTCGTATCGGTTCGGAAATACCGCCTACTACAGATCGAGCATTGAGCGTGCGAGGCAGAAAGCTACGTGAGAAGCGCACAGTTGTGGCTTGCCAATCCTCTATATGATAAGAATGCATATGCTGTCGTGAGAGTCGATGGTGAAATTAAAAATAATTATATTCATAACATAACATAACATAACATCACGCCTTTTATCCCCGAAGGGGTAGGCGGAGGTGCACACAGAACCCACTTTTCACTATTTATGTTATAAGTCCCATGTAATAGGGGGTGAGCCTATTGCCATATACCGGGCACATTTCCAAACTCCGTGCAACTACTGAGATATTTGAAAAACCCAGTAATACTTTGCCCGACCCGGAAATCGAACCCGAGACCCCTTGCCCGGCAGTCGCACTTGCGACCACTCGGCCAACGAGGCAGTCATTATATTCATATTAAAAATATTATGAAGAAATAAAAATATGTGCCCACCTACTATTCTTTCACAATACATAGGTTCAAAACTAATAATATGTATGTATAATATGTACACACACCATAAAAATAAGAAGAACATGTAGATTTAATACATTTGTGTACGCAGATCGAACAGGGTTTATGTGTAATATTTGATATTAATTATAATAATTAGAACTAAACATAACTTAAATATATATAATTATAATTTATTTACTATTTATAGACTAGACATTGAGATCATTTGTTTTTTTTTTTTAGTTTTCACGATAAAATATGGGAGAGTTTTTGTGCTGACAAGCGTGTTTTGTACTGATGCATTGTGAATGCATATTATTATACGATACTAGCTGTTGCCCGCGGCTTCGTCCGCGTAGAATATGATTCCTGTTTTATCCCATGGGAGCATTTAATCGATATTCTACCACTCAAGTGAGGCCATACTCTGCCGATACACCAAATTTCATCAAATTCCGTTCAGTAGTTTCAGCATGGTTGACGGACTAACATCCAAACAAAGAAACTTTCACATTTATAATATTAGTGTGATATATCGTATTCTACATAATATAGGTATCTATTGTAAGCAAATAGCATGTACGGTCAAAGGTCAAAAGTCCACCGTAAGACTACTATCGGTTACGCTGGAGCGCTTATACCCACATGCACTCGCATATTTTTATCCGTGTGCGGACGCGTGCGTGTGTTTATGCGTACGCACGCGTTTTTATGCACATTAATATGAAATTACTTACGCATTGCCGTGTGAACATCACTCACGGTGGCAGTGGACTTTTGACCTTTGACTGTACAAACATGCCATATAAATTGGATTGGCATGCCATATAAATCGGAAATATGAATAAATATGTAGGTAACAACAAAATGACTATTTTAGTTTCAATTTATTCCGACTTATCGTCAATGTAAAAACCAATTTCCAGATTGTGTCCTTAATAATGATTTTGGTTTGTTAAGGCTTCAAAGTTTCAGTAACATTTATACTTTCAAAAATGTTTAAGCAAAACGCTATGAATACCTAATTATATTCAAATAGATTACATTTAGATAAATATTTCTAATCTATAATATCTTCATCGTCAACATCTGACGACTCGGCTTTGGTATCATCATTCTTGCTGACTTTGGCATTGTCTTTGACGTCTTGCGTATTATGAACATCTTCGTACACCCGTTTGAGATTCCTCATGATGTACGACGTCCCATTTGCATTGCTTGCTACCTTCGCACCAGACAGCTCAAAATACTTCTCTGATTCTGGAACATTGCTTGAGCGAACTGGAACAGAGAACGCTGACACATGTCGAGGTCGCTGAACAAAGTCTCTAGCAAGCCTCTTGTCTAAACCATCATCCCTAGCAGGGTCTTGTGTATTCTCCACCCCTTCAGCCAAAGCCCTCTTCCTATCGTAAATGTGTCCAGACACACGTAGATCTATGAAGAAGTTCAATGGATCTACACCGAAACCTCCAGGATTGTAAAGAGGTGGGTACCACATTGGTGGAGGTGGGGGGAGAATTAGGTTTGATTGTGGTACTGCTGACGTCTCAGTGCTTCGACCGACGCATGGAGAAGGCTTTGGAAGTTCTTCTGTTCCTACGTCTACGTAAGATGACTGTCGACCTGGTGGATCAGGGCTGCTGCTCGGCTTAGCCTGTTCAGCCTTTGGAGATAATCTGCGCGGTGATGGCTCCCGGACCCTCGTATGTTTGTCCACAGTTAGCTCCAAAGGAACTTCAGGCCGCGTCTCTGACTCTTTCTTCTCTTCCTCATGTTTAGGCCACTCACGTCGCCAATCGTTCTCATTTTCGGCGAAATATTTGTGAGTTCGGCGCTTAAAGCGGCGATGGTAGTGCGGAGGTCTGCAGCCGTGACGTGCATTCACAAAAGACCGAAGCATTTCACTGAAGAAGAATGCATGTGGCTGAAGCGGTAAAGCGCTGTAGAGGTAAGGTGGAGTGGCTGCTAGAAGACGCGAGACCAATTCAGTATTCCTCAACTCCCGTACATGAGTTTTTGGTCCCTCGGTAGGAACTTTCTCTTCTTGCACGGAGCTCATCCTGCAACAAACAATATATCCATGTTTGAATGTAAATCAATTCGCAAATGAGCGACTGAACCCTGTCGGGGATCGTGATGTGAATGAGATGCGATGCACTTGAATGAGGGGTGGCTGAAGCCGTTTATATTGTGCGATTCGAGACTCCACGATATTTAAAAATAGATTTAGTTTGTGCTGTGCGACTATGAAGCACTTTTTATGTAAGAAGAAAGTAAAACATTAATTTTGGGTCCCAAAAGTCTAAAAGCGAGTCTTCCTGGTTCGGGCTCTGATACATATGTATTATGTTAGTTGGAGATACATGTGTGGTTAGTAGATTACTTAAGTTAGTTACTGCACTAACAACCGGTGAAGGAAAACATCGTGAGGAAACCTGTGCTTATAAATTTCTAACTATAAGTAAGTTTGAAATCGCCAACCCGCTTTGAGCAAGCGTGGTGATTAATGCTCAAACCTTCTCTGTGTGAGAAGAGGCTTTGCTCAGTAGTGGGCATTATAAGCTGTTGATGGTAATGTTAAGTTATTATAGTCACACATAAGCAGTATGTAATAAAATTCTTCTTCAGCTACATGTAGAGAGACAGGATATATCTGTCAACACTATAAACTGAAACCTATCAGTAAACCATGACCATTCCAAGTTCAATAGAATTAAGCTGAATACGATTCCCATTCTAAAGATAAAATCGCAGTCGTACGATGTAAACGCGCCAATCTGAACTAAGCGTGAATGCGGAACGAGTGAACGAGTGAACGAGACAGTCGGCCGGTGATTATCGCGGCTCCTCGTCCACGAACAATGCGTCCGACGCTATTATGTCTAAGTACTGCATTTGTGTTGATGAGATACCCACTGCGACTACGTACTTACTTCCAAGTAAAGGATACGCTTTGTCTGCTCTGCGCAAGATGGGATTTATACTTTTGTTGATGAGATGCTTTCGCAAAATGATCTCTAAAAAGTTTAAAGAGTAGTTAAAACAGGTACGAAATTCCCCAAAGCAAATGCAAACTAAATAGATATACTCCGTAACTAATAAACAAAATAAACCAGCGTAAAACAATATTGGTTACACGACTATTAATCAACAACATGTTAACTACGAAAACAGTGACGCATGACGTCACAGTACGCCATCAAAATAGAACAAAATATTCCAAATTCAAACTGGCTCTACCGTTGCGAGTGATATAGTGACTAGTGACGTTCTGTATCCGCGGTGTCGGTTCGTCTGTCCACATCGATTTTTCAGCTCATCGGTGTTTTATTGGCAATATTCGAATGACGATACATCCGCATTCCGATAGCTCACTGCGGATTTGTTTTTGGTTTCCTTTTTCGATGCAGCCCGCCCGACTGAATATAATTTTAAGTCTCTTTTGAACGGAACGCTGGCATTTTCCTTCAATTTAAACTCAACTCGTTTTTTTCGAACGAATATTGGATATTCGTTATTAGCATTTGGAAGAGAATAGCTAGAATTTTTTGCAATAAAGTTTATCAAAGCGCTCCATAACTACAGTCGGTTCATTAATCGATTTATTAATCGTGGCTCCTCTCTATAGAATCAACAACAAAGGACTTCTCTAATAAGGGTGGCACAGGAATTAAATGTCACATTACCATATCACTGAGTTTGAAGAGAAAGCGATATATCGGATTTGCCACAATATAGCGAGGATGGGGAGGCGGGGAGATGTTCACAATAAATTCAGAGTGGTGTATCTCTATTCAAACAGTTGATGCGAAGCGTGAATCTTACGTACGCGACGATGAACAAACATGACGCGCCACGGCCCCGAGTCTGCGTTTAAATGTTCGCAACTTTTTTTAAAATATAGACAACACAGGATTTGTTACGTTTTTTTATGAATAAGGTTCGTTCTTGGCTGTATACTGGAGTGTTTTTGCCTGCCGTTGAAATAATGAGGATATAAAAAGGAATAAAACGCTTTTGTTTTAGATTGTTTTGCATAGGTAGTAGGTAAATACGACCATTAAATTAAATATTTCTACTGTCCAGATCGAATATGTCGACCATCTGTCAACCCTATCTAGCCAAGTTTCCTAGAGCTTGAATAGTAGCTCAAAAAACCCCGACAGTGTCGAATTTAACACACGAGAAAAAATCCAGAGCCATAATAAAAGTACATAAAAAATTCAATTAGGCGGCTCAGAGCAACGCGTGGATTTTGGCGACAAATTCGCCCAACGTTCAGCGGTAGGTAAAACCATGTTAAATTCACATTTTTACCAAGCAACATTTAAAGGATATTAAACCTTAAGTCTTGGTAATAAAAGTGGGAAGTAATATGGTTGTGGAGGTGTTTCGTCACACGGCAGCGAACGTTAATTTCCATATTAAAACCGTCACAAAGGAAGCAGATTCAAAAACCGCTCCGCGGGCGGTGTTTAAACGAGGATGTGCGAAGTACATTGATGCGGTATTTAATGATGTTGCGCCATGTATTTTTAGGAAAACAAAAATGTTAAAAGATGCAGTATACAAATTTAATAGTTCTGAATGCTATTGCGTTGATTTTTGTAATATATGTACATTGAAAAGTAAAAATCAAAGATGGATGCGTCACTGTCACGAAAATGTTTCAAAAGTTTCATTTTAAATTATGTATCTAGTTAGATATCTAGTTTTGTCTTCTTAACCATTAATACCAACTTCAATCGAACAAATCAGCGAACAACAATACCACAAATCTTACAGTCAACATAAATCCAGTATCTTACAATCAACATAAATCGAAAGCCGCAAACAACAGTCACATCCAATCCTTCGAGGCTCGAGAACGCAAACAATATTTCTCGCAGATACCGGCGGGGTATGATAATCGCGTCAAAACGCACGTGAAGTGCCTCTGAGGGGGTAGGCAGGGAGGCTGGGGAGGTGCTAAGCCGATGACGGCTTTAAAACGTACAGATTATCCCGACAAGTGCTCTTTGAAAAAGGTATGATTTATAGCTACCTCATTGTGAACGGATTAATTTCTTTATAACCATTTTATTGGATGCCCGGTTGTGTTTGAGTTTAGCAAAATTGATTGATGAATGCTGTTCGATTTTATGACTCGAAATAATGTTGTGATTCATTAACCCTTTTTGAAATGTTTACGTACCTAACTTCTGCATTCCTTCAGAAGAAATAGTGTTCTACTAGTAATCTTTAGTTTAAAAAAATGTACATCCAATTATAGTATCTCCTTCTTTTCGGTAAAAACTATCCTGAATTCGGAAAAACCAACGAAGTTAAATGAAGGAAACCCAACATTTATAGGTATTTTACTAATTTTACTACCTTACCTAAACATGAAACGCAGCTTCCAAACCAATTATCATCTGTATTTGCGCCATAAAATTGAAAACATTTTTTTTTTCTTTTTTCAAACGATAGACAAACATGGCTCTTTTTAGACGTCCGTCACTGGTTTCCATTTACAAATAAAAACAAAAACAGTGTTTGTATAATGACTGGCAGGCTGGAACTGCTTTTAGAAGGTAGGTAGACATGTATGTGTGTGTGTGTGTGTGTGTGTGTGTTTTAACTACATACATGTGCACTATTTGCAGTGGTTCAGGGGATTTAAAGCTTTTTAATTAGAAGATACGTTATGGTAGTCTCACAGATACATTTTAGATAATAAGTTGAATAATGTTGAGTGTGTCTTTACATCAAATACATACATTTGAAGCTAAACGACAGTTTATTAGGAAACTAAGGACGTTAAAAAAAGGCGGACACAGTGTCTTGAAATAACCACTATGGCACCTGGTTACTATAGAGTTACTTAACATAACATAACATCAAATCACGCCGTTTATCCCCGAAGGGGTAGATATAGGTGCACATTATGCCACTGTACAATGTGACATCCACTTTTCACTATTTATGTTATGAGTCCCATGTAATAGGGGGTGAGCCTATCGTCATATACCGGGCACAATTCCTTAGATGCAGAAAATAAACACATTGACACGAAGGACATCTGTCATTTTCTTAAGTCTGGTAACGTGGTCACACATAAATAACCCATAGACATTTTGGTCCTTCAATCATACCTATATGTATAAGTGAAATGATTGGGCCAGGGATACTGAAGGGGACAAACGTCTCACGATGTCGATATCGGCCACATGTCAAGCGAAGCCTACCGATTTCGCCCTACATATATTATAAGGCGACAACGCGCAACTTATGTCCACAGTGACTTTGATGTTGCCAGACATGTCGCCCAAAGTCCGGCAACGTTGCGCTACTTCACCCGACGTCGCTGGTGACACGTATCGCACGACATTCGTTCCCTTTTTTTGTTGACGGGGGGAAACCTTCAAAAGACGCCTAGCTTTGAGAAAACGACTAGGGAGTGTGGGATTTTTACCTCACTAAGACCTCCCCGGTGGCCACCATCCGCACCTGAAGGAGGAAGTGGGTCCTCTTAGTAGACCAACACCAGAGCCCCCACAGTACAACGCCTGTTACGGCACCTCCCTGTAGAGACCTATGTTTCTCTCCTAGAGCCTCTCGGTGCAGTGCACGGCAGCACGTGACCACTGTGCCGCCGTCATCCTTGAGGTCATTAGATGGACGCTTAGATACCCCACTCTATGCGCCCATGACCCTAAAGGACGACATTTGTGCCCAAGTGGCTTTAAACTGTCAAACACCAAGCGGTCACCGGTGACCGCAACCTATTGTTTTATAATTGTGTCTATAATGACGGTACTCGACGAGTTAATTCCGCCTTTTTTCAATAGGAAACAAAATGATTATAGAAAAGGTCTGAATTGTAGAAACTTTAAATGTAGGAGAGTCATGGTTCGGCACAAATGGGCCGACTCGATCGGAGTGATACCACGGCCTCACAGAAAACCGACGTGAAGTAAAGCTTGCGTTGTGTTTCGTCGTGTGAGTGAGGTAACCGGAGGCCAAATTACACTCTCCTTCCCCAATCTGCCCAATTCTTGAATCCTCAACGTTCCTCAAA